TCATTAATATTGTGTTAATTGCTTACTGCAAATCAAAATTCTTGACCTTCTTTGTGTCCATTTACTCTTGGTTCAGTTCTCTGGTATGTTTCTTTTTCAACCACTATATTATGCTCAAAAGCCATAATCATTCCTTGCTTTTTAGGTATTAAAAGGGAATCTTTAAAAAAGGCGAAAAAAGAATATGGAAGAGATTGTAAGTAATAGACTTTAACGATCAATATCGAAAAACTAATAATTCACAAATTAATTAATTACCACTTTTTATTATAATATAGTTCTTTTAATTGGTTTCTTGAAATAACTTTTAAACTAAACTCCTTTTCTATTGAAGCCTTAAAAAATAATATAGTATTCTATTAGCTTTCATCTCTAATTCTTATTTCTATTTAATTATAATAAATATAACAATAAAAGTTCATTATTCATTTTATTAATAACGATATTGTAATCTTCTATGAACTTTTTTATTTTGATTAAAATATGTTCAAACAAATTGATTGCCATTCATCAAGAGAAGATTTAATTAATTAATAAATATTTTATGAATGTTATTATTATTAACCTGTGCATACTTGTGTAAGATTCAATAATATAGGAAAAAGGAGATTAAATCACTTCTGACATTTAAAAATTTTCTCAAATCTTTTTAAGTTTGCATTATTTTCTAAATGAAGATGCTCCTCAAATTAAGCAATTTATAGTCATATCAAAATAAAAAACTCATGACTGATTCACTGTTAAATGATTTGTAATATAAAGATTGCTCATAAATCCTCATTAAAATACAAACATTTTTTATTTAATAACGGAACTCAAAGGTAGTATTAATATTTATTAAATATATTTTAATGCTACGTTATTGATAAATTCTACCAACATTAATTCTACACTTCTTCAATAATTGTAATCAGGAAATAAAATCAATTACTCTTATCTTCCTGATTCTAAATTTTCTCGATTTAGACAAGTGGATCATATGAGTTTAACTATAACAAAAAAATTTCACTGTTTAGACTTTTATAAGATGATATATTTAGGGAAAAAAGGAGGTATAGTTTTTAATAAAAAGGAAGAATCAAATAATTCAAAATGTAACACTTATTTTAATAAGTAGTAATCTAGTAGTAGTAAATATCAGAAAGAATAAAGTCAGATAGGGAATTCAAATGTCCAGATGTTTATTTTGCAAATTTAGCAAATTTACTCTCAAGCTTCTCCTTTTGTTTTCAAGACTAACAACTACTCATTCTCTTTGTCTACACTAGGCAGAGTTTTAAATTTTTAATGAATTACTTAGTAAGAATGTTTTCCTTCTGCCTTTTTTCTAAGGTCGATAGAGAAATAAGAGTTTCATGATGCATTGCAATAGCTTCAAACAATTTATGAAATTATGGAAGATCTGTAGTTGTAGCAGAATGAAAGAGAAAGTAGGATGAGATAGTAAATTTTCACCAACAAGAGAACTAGGTAAGAGAAGGAATATACTTTTGAAGATTCTATAAACTTAATCTTGAGTATTATCTCTCTATTTAGTTGTTTCTATCAGAACCTTTCTATTCCACTTTATTCTACTTAATTGTTGCTTAAGTATGCTACTAAGCCTCTTAAGCAGTTTTTCTCTAATTATGTCAAGATATCTTATCAACTGTTTATCTGCCAAAATCAATCTCATTTGTCTGAATCATTTTATATTTTTTTAATTTCTGGTTGCAATCAATTAATCCATTAGCCTTTTTTCTTGAAAATGTTCATTAATTGGAAAAT